GCGGACACGCAGCGGTTCCCTGTGCCCGGACAGGTACCTGCTCCAGGAGTCCTGCCGGGAGGCTGCGCTTGTTGGTGGCCGCCGCCTTCTGAAGGAGCTTCTTGGCTTCCTCCATCCTGCCTTTGGTCACCAGCCACCGAGCTGACTCTGGGAGCACCCTGCCGAGGAGGGGAGCTCAGCACACGCTGCTCTGACCCGCAGAGCTCCCCCACAGCCCCTTGTCACCACACCCGCAAACAGTGGGCATGCCATGGGAGGGATGGGCCTAAATGCCCTACCTTTGGGCTCCAAAGGCCACATCTGATGACCTGAAGCAAAGCAGCTGCTGCTCTCAGCAGCCCAGTGTCCCAGGGAGCTGTGCTGAGCTCTGCAGAAGCTCCTCCAGCATCTGCACTGTGATGGGAAAGACCCATCCTGGTGCTGAGCTGCTGCTGCCTCCTCACTCCCACCCTTCACGCTGCTGTCATGTCTGCAGGAGCTCTGTCCACATCCCACTTACCCAATGAAGAAGAAAAAGGCAAATATAGGAGCGGATCCTGCAATCTCCAGCAGCCTCCAGTTGCGAATCCCGTAACTCAAGCCAGCCAAAATCATCTGTCCAATGGCGAAACAGCAGTGAGAGGAAAGCACTGCCTTAGGCCGGGAGGAGACACCAATCCACTCTGTGGCTGCAAAGAAGAACAAAGGCTCTGAGTCATCAATATAAATGATTTCCACTGTAAAAAACATAGTGTTTCCCCTGGAGAAGAGCCCTCCTGGAGGTGAGGATTAGAGACCTGCAGCTGGAGCTCTGGCATCAGTCACACATGCATGTCACCAGTGTTTACATGGGATGCATCACCTCTCCATACTGTCAGACTGTCTTGGTCCTCTACAGGAGGATGTTAAGCTCAAATATGTCACCTCTTTGATCTCAGAATCCACAGAATCCCTGGAACCCAAATCAATCATGTCCCAGAGCCACTGGGCTCTCTGTGCACTGGCCTCCTGAGCTGGGACATTGTCCCTTTTCCCTCCTCTGAGCACGGGCAGGGGAGAGATGCTCCCTGTGGCTCTCACTCAGGGTTGAGGAGATGCCAAAGTGCCAAAAAACAGCACAGAGCACGACCTGTCCTTGCTGCAGTGTTTTTTCTAGTCATACATGATGATTTTTATTTCTTCATAGACGTTTCCTGTTGCACCTTGACAGGCCACATCTGTCTGCCTTGGGGCCAGGGTGTCCCACTCACCTAAGGACAGTAATGTCATGGTGATTCCTGACACCGAAGCCCCCACGACACACCTGAAGGCCATGTACACATAGAAATGGGGCACAAAGGCAATTCCCAGACCAAACAAGCCCTGGAGGAAGACTGAGATCAGAATGACTGGCCGGCGGCCGATCCTGCGGAGAAGGAAGACACAGTCGGTATCTGCAGAGACCCCGTGGGGATGGGGAGGAGCCCAGTAGGTTATGCAAGTGATTTTATCACCCTGGAGGGTGATAAGGTTCAGATTACACTCTGGGTTGACCAGTGAAGGACCCTGTGCACACATGCTGTGTCTCCCTCCCTTCCCTTCCCTGTGTGGCCGTGTCCTCATGGGACCTGAGGACTTTGGTCAGGGTCCCTGTGAGTGAGGAGCACTGACAAAAGGCACAGGGTGCAGCATCCAGAGAGGCTCAGACCAGAGTGCTGACTTTGCACACACCTTGGGTGGGTGGTTGTGTCTCCTCACCTGTCACTCAGCGGCCCAAAGATCATGGATCCCAGGAACAGCCCCACCATGTAGATGGACTGGGCGATGTCGTTCAGGTCCTTCCTGTCACACACCAGGTCAAACTGGAGAAAGGACAAACAGATGCTTTTGGATTCCCCTCCTCCCAGGATGTGATGTCCACAGTATGCACAGGGCAGACAAGTCAGAGGTGGGACAAGTCCCTGGGGTACTCAGTGGTGCCCCTCTCCCAAGCACTGGGACCTGCAGGAGTCCCCCTACCCAGTCCAGGCTTCCCCAGGGGAACCTCCTGGTTAGCAAATTTTGCTTCAGGTGGGACAGAAATCCCAGCAGTTTGATTCCTTCCAGGCCTCCTGCCCTCGCAGAGGAGAAAGGATGAGTGCAGTACTGATTCCTGGGACAGGCAGTTCAGCAACTGCCAGTGACCAGAGGGCATCTATAGAAAGAGTAACACAGGGGGGATCATAGAATCATAGAATGGTTTGGGTTGGAAGGAACCTTAAAAATCATCTAATTCCAACCCCCAGCCATGGGCAGGGACACTTTCCACTAGACCAGGTTGCTCAGAGCCCCATCCAATCTGGCCTTGAGCACTTCCAGGGATGGGATGTTCACAGCTTCCCTGGGCAACCTGTGCCAATGCCTTGCCACACTCACAGGAAAGAATTTTTTCCTAATATCTAATCTAAATCTACCCTCCTCATCTTAAATTAGCTTCTTCCTCAGCTACCAGCTTCTATGTTGGGGGTTGGACTAGATGATTTTTAAAGGTCCCTTCCAAGCCAAACCATTCTATGATTTTAAGTTAGAAAGTTACCCCCTGTGTGCAGAGAGGTAGGGAAACCCAGAAGGTCCCACCAGGAGCGATTCATCTCTCCACTGGCTCTGACATTGACCCCGCTGTCACAGCCTGCTTTGCCTGCAGTCTCTCCAAGAGGACCCCACCTGGGGCTGGGTGGTGGAGCCCATTTCCCCAAAATACATGTGATGTAAACCTCAGCCCAGCGCAGCTGCACCGTGGTCAGGCACCAGCTTTTGGGGAAACCCCAGGACAGGGCAGCTGTTTGGGTGTCCCATCCCTTCCACGTCCCCCATCACCTCAAAAAGGGGTTACAGACCTCGGTCAGCAGGGACGGTGGCTCTGCTGAGGGGTACACCCAGCCACTGCTGCACTTCTGCGTGGCGTTCAGGCCATATGTCAGGATGGAGTCCAGGTCCCAGTCCACCGGGGAGTACATGGAGCACTGCTCGTACTGCCCGTCCGCATCCCGGGGCAGGGTGAGGTTCAGCTGCTCTTCCTGCGTCAGGTTGGGGCCGACAGCGAGGATCCAGCTGGTGTCACAGTGGTAGGGCACATCCACAACCATGAAAAGCTGGCAGAACTGGTGGAAGGCCACGCTGAGGCAGGGGATCAAGGTGAGCAGCACCAGGCATTTCTGAAATGGCCCGAAATTGCCAATTGCTTTCAAAATTTCCCCGACGCCTGACATTGGTGACTGCGTCTGGAGCAGGACAGTGCTGGGACAGACTTCCCAGAGGGCTGGAATTAATGTTTAAACCTAAGATAAGCTCTGCACTCGTAGGCTGTCACCACAAGTACACCATGTAATATATTAATCATCCCTCTGCCACCCACGAACATCCAGGGCTGGCTGGAGAAGAAAGACCCCGTTTCAGGGAACTTGGGCCACCCCCTCTGCCAAGTGGCATTGACAGATTCTTCTCCATAGTGACTGCAAAGGCTGCTTTTGCTGAACCATTTAAAAAAGCAAGGATCAGAGAGGCCAAAATCCCAGAGGAATAAAGGGAGTGATGTTCATGGATGGGCAGAGCCACAGATAAGGAAGGGCAGTCAGTTCACTGTGGTCCCAGGTGATGGAAGTTGCCGTTTCCTTCATCTTTTGCAGCTTCCCTGTGCAACCACAAGCAAGTCAGGCACAGAAAGCCCACCCTTCCCACCAGTTCTGGCCCACTCCACAGAATGGTCAGGCTTATATGCATGAAAACTTGAAGAAGTGCAGGGATTGGAGAAATTTGACAACAGGGCAACGCTGCCTGAGGCAGGTTTCGCAAATCTCAGCTCAAATGCCTTAAACTCATCACGGAGAACATGAGTCAAGCGCTGTTCAGGTCATTCCCTGATGTAGGAACAGCATTTGCCCTTTGAGATGTCCATAAGGCAAAAGTCTCCAGAGGTACCCAAAAGGAACTTGGATGCTTCTTCTCCTGCCCACAGATCCATGGAAAGATCCATAAGCAAGATGGAAACCAGACCATGGCTGCCCTGTTGGGGTTGACCAAGACACCCACACAGGTCCAGCCTGGAGGTACAGCAGCCCCCCAGGGAGCAATCTTGCCCTTGGGATAAGCCCAGCTCAGCAACCACAAGCAGGGAGCACCAAAGGCAGGGATAATTAGGCAGACACTGATCTGGACAACACAAATTGGATCTGTTCAAGTCAATTGGGAAACTCATGTGGAGGATGAAATCGTGTCCCTGTTCAGCTTGGGCTCTGCTTCATCAGGAGACAGGTCAGGCCAAACTTCGCTAAAAGCAGTCACATACGGCCAGGAGTTCAGGAGCCTTTCCCAGCCCTGGTCCTGCCATCTCCCCTGGCTGTCTCCTGGCTCTGGGCTAGATGGAATCTGGGGCACAGAGCAGCCTCTTTCACTCTTCTCTGCCATGGTTTAAATGGGAAAACCCAGGAGGGTCAGTCACACACCAGCCATAGGTCTCATGGATCTGGAGAAGGAGAAGCCAGAGGACTGGCATCAGAGAACTTGAGCTGGGCATCAGATTTACGGGAGACTGGAGCACACTGAATCATAGAATCATAGAATCATAGAATAGATTGGGTTGGAAAAGACCTCCAAGATCATCAAGTCCAACCCCTGATCCAACTCCAATTACTATACCATGGCACTAAGGGCCACATCCAATCTCTGCTTAAAAACCTCCAGGGATGGTGAATCCACCACCTCTCTGGGTAGGCCGTTCCAATGCTTGATTACCCTCTCTGTAAAGAATTTCTTCCTAACATCTAACCTAAACCTCCCCTGGCAGAGCTTGAGCCCATGTCCCCTTGTCCTGTTGTCGGTTGCCTG